GGTATGGGTAGGTGATCTCATCTTTGTTGGGTGGTTATTTGTCTCTTTACTGTTTTCCCAAGTTGTCAGGTTATGATCAAGCTGTCTAGTGTTTGGTGATCAGTTTTGGGGCCACTTTCTGTTGATGTACAAAAGAGGTGTAAGAAGTGGTCTCAGTTAAGCTAAGGACAGGTCCAACTTTTGAGTTGAGGTTCTGAGCTTGACTTCTTAGGGTTCTGGAACAGCAGGGGTATCTGGATGATTGTTAGGTGAACAGGCTAGCTGATAAATCAGGCTAGGAGAGCTCACAGGTGTTGGGTGCAAGGATCCTAGTAACCCAAGCAGGTCTGAATGCAAGGTTGATCTTGGAAAGCTTCCAGAAACACAGCAAATGTCTTGGCAGGGATGAGATGGCCCTGGAAGTGTGAAGGGACTTGTATGAAAGAAAATTGCCATGGCATTTGTGGAAAGCTCCCAAATCTGGAGACCCACTATGGCCCTAACAGAACAGAGATGGCTGGTGCAAGGAGGTGTGGGTAAGGGAGCACACCAAGGTTGGTCTGGGAAAGCCCCCAGGAGAGTTCAAGGGTCCTGGCAGAGCTGAGATCACTGAGCAGCAGGAAGCTGGGGGATGGTTTATTGTTTTTAAATGAATTTTCAGTGGTTGAAGTTTCATATTTCCATAATTGTGAAGTCAGTCATACACAGTTTGCACTACTTTTTCACCATTTTATGAACCAATGTTGATGTGCAACCATGAACTCAAATCTGCTTTATTCAGATTTTTTCCCTAAATTTTACTTAATGTTTGCTTTCTGGTCCAGGATTCATCTAGATGAAAATATGATATCTCCTCTGGGCTGTGATGGTTTCAGAAACTTTCCTTGCTTTTATTTCTTGATCTATCTTTTTGAGAAATGACAGTTTGCAGACAGTTCCTTCCCTTAGGACTTATCTGATTTTTCCTTCATGATTAGATTGGGGTTCTGGGTTTGGGGGAGGCCTGAGGAAGTAATATGCCCTTTTAATCATAGCAGGAGTGTCAGAATGCTATTGTTGCTGCCGACCCTGACCACAGGGATGAAGGGAGTGTTTAACAGGTTTCTCCACTGTGGACTCACTCTCCCTTTCTCTTTTTATTGTACTTTTTTTTTCTTGATAGAGTCTCCCTAGTTCCAACCTTCATGGAACTCATTATGTAGACCAGACTGGCCTCCATCTCACAGAGATCCACCAGCCTCTGCCTCCCAAGTGCTGGGATTAAAGGCTTGTCCCACTCTTTGAAAGGAAGTCACTATGTGCATCCCACTCTTAGGGATGAGAGTTGCAGATTTTTTGGCATGGGAGGTTTGTCTTTTTCCTACTTTTTTTTTTATTCAAAACCAAACTTTTATTTGAATCAGTATTGTCTCATGTATAGTTATTTTATACTCTAGATTATAAATGAATAGTAATATATTTTGTTATGTTTCTTTGCTATGAATCGCTTATATTGGGACACATTCATTGTGGTGTTGAGTTCCAAATAGACTATTTCACATTTCAAGTCTATCATGTACTTTGACCTAAGAATACTTCCTTTCTGAAGCACTTATTTCAGAGGTACTGAGTCACAAAGACGTGGAATATTCTTTTAAAAATTATTTGAAAAATTAGTTTTTAAATTTTCTATGCTTTCAAGGCAGGTCTTACTATATAGCCCAGACTGGCTTGGAATTCTCTTTGTTTCTCAGGCTGACCTTAAACTGTCGATCCTCCTACATCAGCATCTCTGGTGTTGGGATTACAGGTATGTATCACTGACCTAACTTGAGACCCAGAACAGTCTAGTTGCTTTTCTTCTGATCTATAGCCTTCAGTTTAGACTCCATCATACATAAAATTGATATAGTGAAAAAAATGTCCTCCAATGTGTCCACAAATCATAGAATTTTATTAGAATAGATGCAGTCATCATTCTGTGCGAGCAATGAACAGCATTCCCCAGAAGGCCTGGTGCCTGTGGTGCTCATGGTCTGCTCACGACTCTGATGACACTTGCCCTAAATTAGTTGAGTTGAAGTTAATTTATGTTGTAGTTCACTGAGGTCCGATGGAATATGAGTCATTAAGATGCTCTATTCTTCTGATTGGCATGGAACTCCTATTCCTGACAAGCAGTGTCTGTAAGAAAGCATGTTTAATTTTAAGGACATTAGAGCAAATATATATTTTTAAAATAATTTATTGAAAATTTTATACAGGCATATAAGTATATAAGGTGTTTTGATCAAATCCATGCCCACTCCCTCCCCTCCAACTCCTCCCATATCTCCCAATCACGTTTTTCTGATAACTTCATGTACTCTTTCTTCTTTTTATAAATGGGGCTTTTTGCTACTCTAACATTCCCTCCTCTGAAGAGGTGGTCCCAAAACCTTTTAAGGATTAGATAAAAGCTCCCAAAGACTTTTGACACTTTTGGCCTTTGGAACAGAGTATGTTGTTAAGAGGCCCAAGGACATTTTGACTTTTAGCCAAGAAACTTGTCACTTTTCTTTGGGGTCTTTTTACCCTAACTGCCTAGCCAATTCCTACCTCCTATTCTTATCATGCCATCCTCTGACGGGGTTACCCAAATTGCCAACAGAGAATTGGGATGCAGACTGCTCTGGCTTCTTAAATGCTGAACAGGGACACAGGGTGAGGCAGTTGGGGTACCCCTTCAGTGGGTCTATCTGAAAAGCTTCCAAATTGCATAACTCTTATCTGTAGGGGGAAAAGAAAGTCATTGACTGGTGAATAGGAGATGTGAAGGAGAAGTAAAGTCAAGAGTAATTAGCATTACAAGTTCTAAATAGGGAACTAGAAAAAGTCAGAACAGGGCAAATTTCAAATGTTCATATGAGAGTCCATTGGAATTTCTTGACAAGGGCTTCCAAAAGCATTGCTCTATTGGGTTCCTCCTCATTTTTCTTTTGTCTTCCAAGGACTCTAGAGTGATGGATTCGGGATTTATTTTCAGGTACTTTGATAGCTGTTGGAGTGGCTACAATCTGTGTCAGTTCCCTCTCAAAAGCTTCTAGGTAGGGGGAGAAAACAAATTTATCCATCATTTTAGAATAGCTGGTTGTCTCCCTTAGCTACAGGTGGGCACTACAGTATTGGAGACCAAGATTTGAAGTCTTACATCTGAGCAGCATTTTCTGGTTAGGAATAAAATCATCAATGGGAAATAATTGTCTAAATAACTTTTTATATATACTTAAGTCTAATGTCTGGGAAGTGTAATCTCTTGAACTCTTAAAGAAATGTACTGATGACTTTACTCTTTGGTTATACTTTCCTTTTGGGTGTTTAAGACCATACAGTTGGCCCAAATAAATAAATCAATTTGTATTTACACTTAAGGTTGTTTGAGGATCTGTTCCTCAGGGGCCATATGGACTTGGGAGGAGCCCCTGGCTCCTTTCTTTTATCAGTTCCATCTATGTGACGATAAGTCAAAGGTCCTGTTTGACTATGGCTGGCTTCACTTGGAAGCATGGAATAAATGTTTCCTCTGAGTTGATCCTCCTCTTTGTAGACTGGACACTTGTTCAAGTCCATCTCATGGGGTTTCCATGGCCTCCCTGAACAAGAGGATAGGTGGCTCACCACAGTTACAGGATACTTTAAAACATATTTTTTTATGTGTATGTATGTATTGCCTGCATGTAGGTAAGTGCACCTGTGTGGTGCAATGCCCACGGAGGGCAGAAGAGGCTGTCGGATGCCCTAGAACTGGAGTTACGGACAGTTGTTAGCTGCCATGTGGGTGCTGGGATTCAAACCTAGCTTTTCTGCAAGAACAGCCAGTGTTCTTAACCACTGAGCCATCTCTCCAGCTGCAGTTACAGGACATTTTGAGAGATGTTCCATAGTCCCCTGGAACTTAGTCGACCTTGGAAGACAAGAGGGAAAAACTGTCCTTTAAGTCCCTCTCACCAGATTAGTATAGGCCTCAAAGTATGGCTGTTAAATATCCAATAAGGTTAGTTCCACCAGTCTGGTACTTTTCCATTACTATGTTTGATGTAGGTGCCCAATTCAGGGATAGCACTCTGCAGTCTCTTATTCTCTGCATATTAGCCAGATGTGGGTGCCTGTTTTAATTACCATCTGTTGTACAAAGAAGTTTCTCTGGTGAGCGTTGAGAGATGCATTAATCTGTGGGTATAACAATAAGTCATTAGGAATCACTTCAATGCTATATATATTTAGCAGAATAATTGTATTAAGCTCTCCCCTATGTTCTGTGACCTGTTTAGTCTCAGATTCCTAAGCCTGATATCAATGTCAGGTATGGGCTCCAGCTTATAAAGTGAACCTTAAATCCAATTAAGTAGTTTGTTATTTCTGTAATTCATGCCACTATTGCTCTAGTGGGCATATCTTGCCAGGCCAGTTGTTGTTATAGCTCACAAGGTTCACACCTTGGGTAAGGTTGACAATTTTTTCTTATAGTAGTATGCATAGCACCTTCCAGCACTATGAATATTAGCCAGTAGAAATGAGGCTTTCAAGTTAGCACAAGCTTGATTTCTTCTTCTTTGTTCTACAGCTCATGTATATAGTGTCTTCAGCAATAGGATCTTACTGTGGAGTTCTTGTGGGTAACCAAGAGCAGGGTCAATGGCCAGAATCGTTTGAGGGTCTATGGGACCCCTGGTCAGTGGTTTCAAAAGTGGGAGTCTATTCCTGGCTTTGGGATTTTACTTTGCTAGCCTTTGATATCTAGTAGGGGCAGTGTCCCCCTGTTATAAGATAACTGCTTTTGAGCTCTTTTTATAATGTATGTGTATGTATTTTAAGAAGCTTCTACAGTGGTAGGTTTCCATATGACTTTTTCTAAAGGTTTTTAGTGTTAGTTACTCCCTCCACTCCTCTGCTTTCCCATTCCCCACACCCTGTAACCTTTCCTACTCTAGTATTCCCTTCTTCCATTATATCACTACATTATATCTCCCCTCCCGTGAAGCCTCCCCCCACCATGGCCATTTAAAAACATGGAACACTTCACAAATTTGAATGTCATCCTTGCACAAGGGCTGTGTTAATATTCTCTGTATCAAATTTTAGTACATGTGCTGCTGAAGTGAGCCCAGAAATTATTAATCAAGAAATTATTATTACTTATTAAAGACTAGGTAATTTACTATTTTTTAGTGTAATACTTCTTCTTGAGTAAGTTTTTGTTAATTTTTAATTTCCTAGGTACGTATTCCATTTGTCTGGATCTTTAAACTTACTGGTATAAAAATTCGTATACTATCTTTAAAAATATTTATTCTAGACTATCCTCAGGCCTCTTGGGGTAAGTCTATAGCACAGCTCTCCCCGCCGGGACTCCCTAAGCGACATTCACCCTTCCATCCCCCGCCTTGCCGTTCTATACTCCTAGTTTGGGCCCTGCGCCATTCCTAGTCTCGGGGCCCCAGACACCTAGGGAACCAATACTGCTTCCTTACCCTTCCCATCCAGAGAAACTCAGTCCCTTTCTTGGGCTCCAGGAGCACCACTTCTGGTCCTGGACCCGCCCTCACCTCTCTCTGCTTCCCTCGACCTGCACCACC